CACACCAGCCTCCAAGCACGGGGTTTTCTCAGATGGTGGCGTGGGAGCACCCGCCACCCAGGCCAGGATGCCACCAGGCAGTCGTCCCCAGCAGGGAAGTCCCTGGATGTGAGCCAGTGGTCCCCGGATGGTCTTTCTCCCAGCCTGCATCCCGCCAGGCTCCGTCCTGGGCGCCTCCGTGAACCTCTGACCTGAGCAACGGGCTTGTTTTCCTTGCAAGCAAAGAACACTCTTCTCAGTCCCTGGGAAGGAGCCTCCGGGGTAGCCAGCACGCCCCTCAGCCACCCACCCACCCCACCGGGCTCTCCCAGGTGGGACTGACCAGGGGCAGGTGACCCCAGTGGCCATGCTGGGCAGAGAAGGGCCGGGGAGGACGCTGCCCCTCCAGCCGGGGCCGGCGCCCGCCCGAGGAGACCACGTGGAGAGGGCCTGGGCCAGTGGCCGCTGCAGAGCCCTGCAGGCCGAGGGCGGGCACGGTGACCAGGCCCGGGCGGGCAGTCTCAGCCGCAGCAGGTCCCACCGCCAGAGGAGGCCGGCAGCATCAAGGGAGAGGGGGAGGCACCGCCGACCCACCGCAGGCCGGCGTCCAGCCCCAGGATCGACTGACAGCAGGAACAGGAGAGACCCGAGGCCACCAGGAGCTGCCGCTGCCCCCAGCGCGTCTCCAGGCAGACGCCAGGCGGATGCGACACAGGGAGAGCCTGGCGCCCGCCACAGCGGCCACGGCCACGGGAAGACACGCGGGAACCACTCGAGGAGACGCCGCAGCTGCAGCTTCCGTAGCTTTTCTTCCTGTCGACTTTCTGAAGGGCATTCGCTGCCCTCTGTGTTTCTCTGTGTGACAATAAAACATCCTTCCACACTCCTGTGCCTGGGGACAGCCTTCCTGTGTCCGCACCCTCCGTGGCCTCGCCGGGGGGGCGGGGAAGGGCCTCAGGGACCCCACCGCCCAGGGTCCGAGCCTTCCGCCCCCACCGCCCACGCCCTGAGCCACACGCCCAGCCGGCCCTGGCTACGTGGGCATCAGGGCTCCCACCTGCCGTCGGGGACCCTGTTCCTAATCCGAGCCAGACATGGCACCCGCCGGCCGTCCCAGGGCCGGGGGCGGGAGGAGCCCCCAGACCCCCGGGGCAGCAGTGACAAGGGCACGGGTCTGTGCACGGAGCTCAGGCAGCCGACGCTTCAACCCCATCCTGGAGGCTGGGGGTCCCAGCCTCGGGGTCCGGCCGCGGGGTCCCAGGGCCCCTGTCCTGGGCTTGCAGACATCGCCTCCTCCCGGGGTCCTCCCTCTGCGCGTCCTGACCTCTTCCCACGAGGACCCCAGTCCCGTCGGACCAGGGTGTGCCCGAGTGACCTCGTGTCAGCTCATGACCTCTGTCCGGGCCCCGTCTCCAGACACAAGCAGCTCCTGCAGGACCGGGCTCGGGACCTCAGCACATGAAGCTGGACAGCCGCATGTGCCTCAAAATAGCCCCCCTCCGGCTCCCCAAGGTCCACGTCCTTGTCACACGCAAGTGATCCTCCCACCCCGACGTCCCCAGAGCCCGACCCCATCCCGGCATAGGCACCGAAGTCCAAACCTCATCTAAACGTCAGCTTCCCCCGTGCGGGCAAGGCCTGGTGCACGGTTCACCCCGGGATAAGATTCGGCCCATGACGGGCGTGCGGGGGGCCAGGGGGCAGGAGCGGAGCTGGAGAGAGGTGTTTGCAAAGGGACACGCAGCCAGACACTGCGGTCACAAGGACGGATTTGAGGCAGGAGTGGCCACTGCAGCAGGGAAGAGTCCGGCGCGGCCTGAGCCTACCGGCCCTCTGTGCAGAGCTCACGGGCTCCGGGGAGAGGGAGGCAGGGGGGAGGCTGGGGTCAGGGAGCTGAGCGAACACCCAGGGCTGGCCCGGTCCGTGCCAGGCACCCCTGCATCTGGGGCGGCCTCCACCGAGCCTGGGCTCTGTCCTCCCCGAGCCTGGACACCCAGACGGCCCGCCCTTCCTGACGGGGACATCGTACGGTACCGCACTCAGGCCTTAGAGAGACACTCCGGGCTGCAGGACACACAGGCGTCGTGCGGGGACAGAGGACGGACTGGCCATGGTGGCCCGTTGAGCGGGAGCCCTAGGACAGGGAGGTGCATGGCCGGAGCTCGGTCTCAGAGAGGCTCCAGGTCAGCATGGCCATGGCAGCGGGCGGGAGCCCGGCTGAGAAGCGGGGCCGGCGTTTCCTGGGGAGGGAGAGGGACCACGTCATGCAGGACGAGGGTGGCCACACTTGTCCCAGCCGCATCCCTGTGTTGGGACAGCTCCGAACACGGCCCCCGGCCAGCAGCGCCACAGGAGGCTGTGCGTGGGGCTCGAGCCAACGGCCTGCAGGGTGAGCTCCAGGAGCCTGGGCTCCAGCCCTCAGAACTCGCCGCTGCAGCCCTGCCAGGGAGGGGAGGGGCTGGGGGCGGGTGGCTGGCGTGTCACCAGCCAGCCCATCTGACGGCCAAGGATGGGGTCCCCGTCGCCACTGGGCCCTGCGCACACCTGCAGAGAAAGTCCCGGCCAGAATGTGGCCAACAGACCCGGGCCCAAGCAGAGCGAGGCGATGCCAGAGCCTCTGTGGGTAGGATGGCCCAGCGCCTGGGGACCCTGCTCAGCCCCGCCCGATAAGCAGGTCTCCACCCCGACATTCAAGGGGCCCTCGGGGCCTCTGGGGCTCTGGTGGGGCGGGCTCTGGCCCACTGTCCTGAGGGCGGGTGGCCCTGCCAGGCTGAGGAAAGCAAGCCCAGGGCAGCACTGGTGACGTGGTGTGATGACCATGCCAGCTCATGGCCTGGGCCCAGAAGGCTGAGCTGGGAAGGAGCAGAAGCTTCCTGTAGACCCTAACCGGGCAGCACCTGGCCAGGCACCTGGGGAAACTGAGTCCTTCCCCAAGGTGCCCAGGCCCCACCTCTGCCCCCTCCCCTCCCCCTGGCCAGCTCCCCCAGGAGCACCAGCCCAGGCCCGGGCCCTCCCGAGACGGCAATGTGGCTGCATCCTGGGCAGCCCAGCACTCCCAGCCGTCCGTGGTGTGAAGTGGCATGACGTGGTGTGACATCCATGATGTGATGTGGTGTGACATGGCATGACGTGGTGTGGCGTAGCATAATGTGGTGTGACATCCATGATGTAATGTGGTGTGACGTGGCATAATGTGGTGTGACATCCATGATGTAATGTGGTGTGACGTGGTATAATGTGGTGTGACATCCATGATGTGATGTGGTGTGACATGGTATGACGTGGTATGACGTAGCATAATGTGGTGTGACATCCATGATGTGATGTGGTGTGACATGGTATGACATGGTGTGACGTGGTGTGACGTGGTATAATGTGGTGTGACATCCATGATGTGATGTGGTGTGACATGGTGTGATGTGGTTAATGTGTTATGACATCCATGGTATGAAGTGGCATGATGTGGTGTGACATGGTATGACATGGGGTATTGTGATACAATTGGTGTGACATCCATGATGTGATGTGCTATGACAGGGCATGATGTGGAGTGACATGGTATGACATGGTGTGATGTAGTGTGACATGGTATGACATGGGGTGTTGTGGTATAATTGGTGTGACATCCATGATGTGATGTGCTGTGACGTGGCATGATGTGGAGTGACGTGGTATGACACAGTGTGACATGGTGTGACGTGGTTAATGTGTTATGACATCCATGGTGTGAAGTGGCATGACATGGTGTGACGTGGTGTGATGTGGCATAATGTGGTGTGACATCCATGATGTGATGTGGTGTGACATGGTATGACGTGGTGTGACGTGGTATAATGTGGTGTGACATCCATGATGTCATGTGCTGTGACGTGGCATGATGTGGAGTGACGTGGTATGACACAGTGTGACATGATGTGACGTGGTTAATGTGTTATGACATCCATGGTGTGAAGTGGCATGACATGGTGTGATGTGGTGTGACATCCGTGGTGTGACACTGGTGGTTGGCCCAGGATGCAGAACGGTGACTGTGGCCAGGGGAGACAGCGAATGGATCCCTCTGGGTGCGCTGACCTGGTGGCCGCCAAGGTTCCCTGCCAGCCACACCACCCTCACCTGACCCGGGCGGGCCCACGGCAGCAGGCAGCACTCTGGTTGGGCAGGAGGAGGACCTGCCACCCCGTGGCCTTCTGAGGACACCCAGCCTGGCTGTGACCTCAGCCTCCACCAGCACCTGCTGTGCTCTCAGCAGCTCAGGGAGGGATCAGCGGTGACCCGGGCCCCGGGGCGCAGTCGCACCAAGTCCCCCCCATCTGACCCCGGACCCCAGGCCGGGCCCGACATTCCCGGCCCCTCTCGGAGTCTCCCAGGACCTGGCGCGATGTGGCCGGGGGCTGCGTGGACAGCGGAGGTCCGCGGGGTGGCCGAGGTGGCTCCTCCCTGCCCTGCAGAGCTGGGTCCAGCCCAGACCCGGGCACCTGCAGCTGCGCGGGCCCCGCCTCCTGGCCCTCCCCGGGCTCCTTCAAGCCCCTGCTGCTCAGGCCGGGCGCTGCACACTGCCGCTCGGGGAGTCCGGACGCCGTCCTCGGCGATTCCCGCCCGCAGGGACAGCGGCTCAACCGGCCGCCCGAGCGCCGGGCCCTCAGGAGGCCCTGGAGCCTCGAGGTGTTTGGAAAGGACGAGGCCCTGGAAGTTCTGTGAAGACGCCAGCCAGTTGCCTGTTCAACACACGTTTACCCGATCCCAACCCGGCGCAGCCGCCCCCAGGCACACGGCAGCACGCCAGGGCGAGCCGCACGGAGTGGGGTCAGGGAGGCGTTGCGGGGTGCCCTGAAGCTGCGCCGTGGGGAAGGTGTGCTCGTCAGCGCCTGGTCCCCTGCCCCCCTGGCCAACAGGACCAGGCTCCAGGACAGCACGTCTAGGCCCTGAGCAGGGGCAGCTGCCGCATGTTCACAGGGTCGTTTCCAAAACACGGCGCTGTCACGACTCTCACACGGACATACAAAGAACACGTGTCAAGGGTTTCGTTGGTTATTCTCGCCAATTAAGGTGTACAACTAGTTCAAAGTAGAATGCAAAGTGGTGCCCTTATGCAGCTGAATCGGGAAGGCCGAAAGGAGTAAATAAATAGATGGAAACCTGGCTTTTTCCCTGGGAGGCAGAGAGGAATCAGTTGTCCTTCCAAAGCAGAGAAGAAGCATCGCCACCACTCTGCAGAGGGTTGGCGGTGCCGTCGATGTCCTGCAATTTGCAGAGCTGTAAAACAGCCCAAAGACAAGGGTACGCTTGCAGACATGCAGACAGAACGAGGTAGCCCAGGGCTGTGCACGGCAATGCCCGGCTTCTTGCCGAAGACCCCAGCAATCTTTGGTCCATTTCAGCCTTTCACGGTCTTTCCTACAAACGTAGATGACCTACCCAGAATATATAGAGAACTATAAATCAATTAGGACAATCAAATAGTTCAGCAGAGACACAGGCAAGAGAACTGAGCAGGGGTCTTACAAAACACACGTGCAAGGGCCATCGCACGGGGAGGGCGTGCCGTGCCCCACTCGCCAGCAGGGAAATGAAAGTGAGAAGCCGCACGAGAGAAAGTAGCTCTGACTCCAGCCGTGGGGGAGCAGCTCGTATCAGACTGACTCTTCGGCAGACGGGCAGTTTTAAACTCTGGGAAAAGCAGTTTAAAAAACAATGATTGGAAGGCACTGGAGCGAGACCAAGACCAGCAAGCACCAGAGGAGTTTCTTCCTCCAGATGTCTGTCTGAAGGCACGGCCCAGCGCGTGCAGCAGGGACCGAGCAGAACCCGCAGCCTTCCTGATGACGGACGAGGCTCAAGACAGCCATTCAAGAGCAGCTGGGGAGTCGGGGAGATGTGCAGGGGAGCCCCCAAATCCACAGGCAAACTCCACTCGGCCCTCGGCTGATGTCCTGAGCACGCGTTGACATCTAGGGACGTCTATGGAGCCCATCAGGAAGCAGCACCTGTGAGGTCCAAGGAGCTGAGATTTCGGTGAGTGGGCTGCCCACAGGGAAGGAGGATTTGGGATCTTGAGTCCAGTCAAGTTAACTGCTCCTAACGTGGAAAAAATATATATTCTGCCAAGGAAGAACATGAAACCCACAGTCTGTGCCCCACATTGCCCACGACATGCAGTGTGCATCCAAAAATTACCAGAAATGCAAAGAAATATGAAGCCGTGGCCAGTGGTTCAGAGGAAACGCAGTCGGTGGAGACCAAGGTCCAGAAGACCCAGACGCAGCCCGGGTTATCCAATGAGGACTTCAAAGCAGCTATTTTAAATACGTTCAAAGACTTAAAAGAAAAAAATGGTCATAATGAGTGAATAGATGGGGAATCCCTACAGTGAGAAATAAAAAATAAAATCCTAAGCCCCCCACCACCCAAACAGACGCTCTCTTGGCCAGGGGACGCCGAGACACCTTAAAGGCGGGTTTGCAGCCGCACCGGGGCAGGAGGTCGGACACACCTCGCTACACCCCCTCACTCGCGCCAAGCACTGCCAGCCTTTCTTCCCCTGAGGGCTACACGGAGCCAGCCCTTTGGGAGACTTGCTCCCCTCTGATTCCAACCAACCTCCCGACTAGCCCTCCCTTTCCATGCTTTCAACACAGCAACTGAGGAGCACCCTCTTGACAGGAGACCCCCAGCACAGAGCGGCTCTGGCCAGTCTGTGGAGCTGCACAGGGGCCTCTGCATCCTCCACCTCCCTTGTTGTCACGCAGCACCTCACTGCATGATAACACATGTACATGTTAGGTCTCCACCCCAGGTGAGCACGTAACACGCGTGTCTGCTCACCATGCGTGTGCACGCCCCTCCTGTAACCTGTGGCATACATGCACTTGGCCAGCCCTTCCTTGCAAACTCCCGCCTCCCTCCTCCCTCCCTCCCTCGCAGCACTCACTTCTGGTCTCTGCCTCGGCCTGCGCCTCCCAGCCGGCCAGGGAAATAAAGTCCTCCTCCCAAATCTACGGATCTCAGCGTTCTTCTGTTAACAACGGAAAAATTGAAAATATTTACATGAACCAAAGGAAAATTCTGGAACTAAACAGTACAATTCTTTAAATGCAAAGAAAAAACAAAAGACAATCACGTGAGCTTAATAGCAGATTGGAGAAGGCACAAGAAAGGTCAGAAAACTGGACCGGCGCGGTGGCTCACGTCTGTAATCCTAGCACTCTGGGAGGCCGAGGCGGGCGGATCGCTCAAGGTCAGGAGTTTGAAACCAGCCTGAGCAAGAGTGAGACCCCTTCTCTACAAAAAAATAGAAAAAATGAGCCAGGCATGGTGGCGCATGCCTGTAGTCCCAGCTACTCGGGAGGCTGAGGCAGGAGGATTGCTTGAGCCCGGGAGACTGAGGTTGCTGTGAGCTAGGCTGACACCACGGCACTCTAGTCGGAAAACAAGAGTGACACTCTATCTCAAAAAAAAAAAGAAAGGTCAGAAAACTTAAAGATGTATCCATAGACATTCTTTTGAATCCAATCCAAAGTGCAGAGAGAAAAATACTGAAAGACAGGCAGAGACTCCGTACACTGCCGGGCAACATGCAGGATCCGAACCATGTGCGAGGGGAACCATGTGCGAGGGGAGCCCCGCAGGGCGAGAGAGAGAGGAGGGGCCAGAAAAAGCGTTTGGAGAAGCAAGGCGGAAATGTGGCTTCATGCACTCAAGAACCACACGTGACAGATGACATGAGTGACACTCGTGACAGCATGTGCCACGTCCAGTCCCACCCTGCCAAGCTGACGAAACCGCGGGTTCAGAGACCATCTTGAGAGAACGACGCAGATGCTCAGCGGGACAGAGTGCGTCTGGCTCCTCGCGGGGAAATGGTGTCCGGGAACAGGAGAGCCGCTGTGTCCCAGGCCTGGGGCACGTTCAGCCCAGAACTCCACATCCAGAGAAGATCCTCCCCAAACCGAAGGTGACACAGAATCCCCGGGCAAAAGAGAGCGTGTGCGCTGCCAGGAGCCCCGAGGCAGCGGAGGCGGCACCCGGAGCCTCTGCCGCAGGGAAGGGCGCCGAATGCAGACCGGGACGACGGGAGGGAGAGAGGTTAGCGCGTGAATACGAAAATCATCTTTCCCTTTGTCTCTTGCTTTCTTAACAAGATAACTGGTTGTTTGAAGCAAAAACTGCAACAGGGCGTGTGCTACATCCTGTGTGGCGGCTGTCAAAAATGCAACACAAAGAGGTTCACCTAAAACGTTGACAGAGAAATTGGAACACTAAAAAGCACTTCGTTAGGCCGGGCACCTTGGCTCACACCTGTTAACCCTAGCTCTCTGGGAAGCCCAGGCAGGAGGATCGCTCAAGGCCAGGAGTTTGAGATCAGCCTGAGCAAGACCAGGACCCCGTCTCTACTAAAAATGGAAACAAATTAATTGGCCAACTAAAAATATATAGAAAAAATGAGCCGGGCATGGTGGCGCACGCCTGTAGTCCCAGCTACTCAGGAGGCTGAGGCAGGAGGATCGCTTGAGCCCAGGAGTTGGAGGTTGCTGTGAGCGAGGCTGACGCCATGACACTCACTCCAGCCCGGGCAACAGAGTGAGACTCTGTCTCAAAAAAAAAAAAGAAAAAAAAAAAAAGAAGAAGAGCAAGGGGTGCGGGAGCCCTCCCCAGATGTCAACACGTAGCAAAGCGGTCGCCCAGGAGGCACGGCCAGGCAGACGGGGCCTGGGAGCAGACGGGCTCAGAGGCAGCCTGGCCGGGCTGCGCAGAGAGCAGCGGGGGACGTGCGGCCGCACAGGCACGGAGGCCGGGGCCACCGCCTGCCCTTGGCGAGCTGGACACCCAGCCGGGCCCGGCAGGGCCGCTGCCCTGGTCCCAGAGCCCACAGGCCTGAGACCTCGAGCGCTGGGGTCCCGGGACGGAGGTCGGGCGTCCCGCTCGGAGGAGAGGGAGACGATCTCTCCCTTCCCCCGCATTCTGTCCCACACGGGCCTTGGGGACACCGGGTGACCCCGGCTGGCGCCGACAGGGCAGGTCTTCGCTCGGCCCACCAGTCTCTCCCGCAGTGACCCTCACAGACTGTCCAGGAGCCCGTCTGGTGACCCGAACACCGTCCCAGGGACGGGACGTGTCACAGTGGGCGTGGCCCGTGGGACAGGGGACAACGGGCAGTGTGGGGGTGGGTGGGAACCAGCTTCTCACACAGGAGCCGGGACCCGATGGCCACTTCACGCCGTGCGTGGCGGTGAGAGGCAGGGGGCCCGCTGGGACCCAGCACTCACGGCCCGGCAGCAGCCCTAGCGCCGCTCGGGGACAGGGACGTGGCGGCCTCGGCGGGTACAGGGACGGCGCACCTCCCCAGTCCGGTGAGCGCCCCGGGGAACCTTGTCAGGAAACAGGATCCCGGCGAATGTCAGCAGGCTGAGGGGCTTGAGATGGCGTCATGCGAGAGCCAGGACAGGCCCGAGTCCAAAGACCGGTGTCCTCGTGTCCGCTGGGAGCCGGGAGGGCGGAGGGCCCCCCTGGGCCCCGAGGGAACATGTTCCCGCCAGCAGCTCGGCCTCCGACTTCGGCCTCCAGACCTGGCGGGGATGAGCTTCCCTTGCTCTGAGCCAGCCGTGTGGGGACCCCGTCACAGCAGCCCCAGGACACGCGTGAAGCTGGTCGCAGGCTCTTCGTGCCCCAGAAGTGCGCGTGGCCACATGGGATGGAGAAGGACCGCGAGCGACCGCAGACGGCCAAGTCTACGGCCAACATGACGGCGGCGTCCGGAAATCACTGCCTTGCCCATCTCCAAGAAATTGCCAAGGAAACCTCGAGAAAACGTGGTCGGAGCAAAGACAGAGACACCCCACACACACACACACGCACAAGAGGTTCCTGAGCTTCCCAAGAGGTCCTGGGGCTCCCTGGGCCCGGCGCACGCAGGCCACACGTGCTCACTGCAGCAGGGCTGCCGGGGGCCGTGTCGGGGGCCGGGGCCACGGGGGGCCAGGCCGGCCCTGGGAAGGGAAGACGCCGGGAGAAGGCTTTTGCAGTCGGGGCCACAACCAGGGACAACCAGGGGTCAGCGGGCCCAGGGAACTCCGGGCCTCCACCCTGCCACGGGGAGAGACCCTGCCCTCCCGCAGACGGCCGCGGCCCGGCCGAGTCTGGGGCTGAGGCCCAGTTGCTGCCGCAGCAGCCCTGTCCTGGTGCGGACCCAGGGTCCGAGTGGCCCCTGCGGCAGGGCCGGCCTGGGGCCTCCTGCCTTCACGGCTTTTCTACCTGAATCCGGACACGGCGCTGGCACGGCAGAGCGAGCCCCTGATCTGGTCCCCACGCTCTGCAGAGACGTGCCCGGGCCGGCTCTGGGACGAGGAGGCCTTGGGGGACGTTCCTGCGACTGCACCAGACCCTGCACCCATCTCAGGGCAACCGCGCCAGCCGCGCTCTGACTCACGAACGCCATTTTAAATCCCCTCCCTGCCGCTCCCGGCTCCCTGGTGGCCTGGCCTTCGGTCTGCATTCCGCCTGTCTCCGCCCGCCGAGAAAGTACCTGCACGGTAGCCAGACCTGCCGCCGCCTCCCTTGCGTCGGTGGATCTAAGAAAACCTTCCCGAAGCATCTCGCCATTTTAAGGCTTGGTCTGGTGTGGGGCGTGCTCGCAGCTCTTTCCGTGAGAGATCGCTTCAGCGGTGGGATCCGGCCCCAGGAGGGGCGTCTGGGGCGGCTGCACCTTGTTCCACCGCTGTTCTCGGTCGTGCCGGTGGCCACGCGGCTGTCCGTCTTCCAAACTCACACGCGACTTGTGCTGGACGTAAGCCACACTCCATCAACACGACGTTAAAATCTTTAAAAAGAGACGGGGGAGGGGCTTCGCACCGCGCTGGCTCAAAGCCCACCCAGGCCATGCTGCCTGGCCAGCCCCCCACCTCCCCGGGGCCTCTCCCCCGGCGCGTCCTGGGTGTGGGGGTAGCAGGGGCCCCGCACAAAATCCCCACGGCCTGGGGGGCAAGCGGGAGGACACCGGGTGGGCCAGGTGGCCAGTAGGGCCCAGCCCCACACGCACACGGAGCAGCCGCAGGGTGGGGGCGGGGCAGGCTTCTCTCGGCATTTCGGGTCCTGCCGGGGACTCGCATGTCCCCTCAGCCGCCCACTGGGCTCCTCGCCCCAGGCTGAGAGCGGCGGGGGCTCCGGCCCGGCCATGGTGGCCCAGGAGCCCTTGCGGGTCTTCCAGATGTGCCCAAACACCCGCCCCAGGGCTCTGGGCCTGACAAAGCCTCTCCCCTCCATCCCCCGCACACGGGCTGCCGAGACCCCCTAAGACCCCAGCTGGCAAGCGGGGCCTGCAGCAGCCACGGCGCCCCGGGCGTGCGCCGGTCTCCTGGGGACCGCCGGGCACACAGGCCGCAGGAGGCGTCAACGGCGCGAAGGAGATCGCCGAGGGGAGGTGTGAGCAGAGCGCAGAGCACACGCCTGGCCTCGCGCGTGCTCATGCCTCGGCGGCACAGGCGCGGTGCCCGGCCCTGCGGCTGCGGGCACCTTGCAGAGCAGCCGGGCCCCTCGTGCCCTGTCCCTCCCTGGGCCCTCCAGGAGCAGCCCCGTCGGGACCCCAGGCCGCAGGACAGTGGCCGGGCACGGCCGGGCCACCCTGGCAGGAGCCTGGCTCGCCGCGGTCTGCGCTCCTCCTGCAGGCCGGTCCCGCCTCGCTCTCGTGCGCAGAATGGCCACGGCCCTCTCCCACAAGGCTGCCGCGGGCACAGGTGACACCCGGCGCCCATCCCCGAGAACGCAGGACCCCAAGGACACAGGTGGGTGACCCCCAGCGTGCCGACCGGGGCCACCGAGCGTGACAGGCGGGAGCTGGCCGGCCGGGGCAGGCCCGGGAGAGGAGCACCTGCCTCGCCCAGGACCTGCGTGCGCGTCCCCGGCGGGCCTCACCTGAGACCTGCCGCTGCTCAGTCGACTTCCCAAGAACAGAGAGAAAAGGGGACTTCCAGGCCGGCCGTGGCCCCGGGGGTTCCCACCCCATTTTTAGCTGAGATCACTGAGGCAGAGCTCCCTCCCCCAGGCCCGATTGTCAGGGCGAAAATAACAACGATGTTACGGATGTGTGGGGCCGATCCAGGGACCGGGCGGGGACGGCCAAGCGGGCCACGGCGCCCAGCAGAGGACCCGGCTCTGCAGGTATCCCAGCCGCCAGGAACCCCAGCCTGGGGCTGGCCCAGGGGCCAGTGGGGGATGGACTGCGGCCCCCGGCGGGGAGCCCACCTGGACTGCCCACGCAGCGTGGGCACACCCTCCAGCTGCCCATTCCCTGCATGGACACAGGGATGCCAGAAACAGCCGGCGGCGGACCCGGAGAAAGGAAGGGGCCGAGACTCTCGCAGGGGCTGGGGCCGGGCAGGCCCAGGCCGAGGAGGTCAGAGGCCCCAGGGGCGGGGGCGGGGGCGGGGCAGCGGGGCGCTGTCCTGTGCTGAAGGGCACCACAGGCCGCCTCAACCCACATGCCCTGCGCTGCTCCAGGCCAGTCACAGCGCACAGGCCGAGCTGAGCAGATGAGGGAGACACCCTGGCCGTTAAAGGGCTTGGCCAAGCCAGACCGTCCCGAGCCAAGGCCGTCCAGCCTGCCCTGGGCTGGCCTGGGCTGGGCTGGGCTGAGCTGGGCTGAGCTGAGCTGAGCTGAGCTGGGCTGAGCTGAGCTGGGCTGGGCTGAGCTGGGCTGGGCTGGGCTGGGCTGAGCTGGGCTGAGCTGGGCTGGGCTGGCCTGAGCTAGGCTGGGCTGGGCTGGCCTGGCCTGGGCTGGGCTGGGCTAGGCTGGGCTGGGCTGAACTGGGCTGGGCTGGCCTGGGCTGAGCTGGGCTGGGCTGGGCTGGCCTGGACTGGCCTGGGCTGAGCCGGGCTGGGCTGAGCTGGGCTGGGCCGGGCTGGCCTGGGCTGAGCTGGGCTGGGCTGGCCTGGGCTGGCCTGGGCTGAGCTGGCTGACTGGGCTGAGATTCTTGCTGGGCTGACTGGGCTGAAACTCGGCTGCGCTGGCCTGGGCGGACTGGGCTGCGCTGAGCTGGGCTGGGCTGGCGCTGGCCTGGTGGGCTGGGCTGGCTGGCCTGAGGCTGGTGGCTGGCTGGCTGAGCTGGCTGAGCTGGGCTGAGCTGCGCTGGCTGAGCTGGGCTGCAACTGGGCTGGGCTAGGTGGCGTGGCTTAGATCGCCTGCTGAGCAGGCTGGCGGGCCGGGCTGAGCTGGGCTGGCTGGCCTGGGCTGAGCTGGCTGAGCTGGGCTGACGTGGCCTGGCTGAGCTGGTCTGCGACTCGGGCTGCTGGCCTGGGCTGAGCTGGCTGTGGGCTGAGCTGGGCTGGCTGGCTGCCTGGCTGGGCTGGGCTGGCCTGGCTGGGCGGCTGGGCTGGGCTGGCCTGGCTTCGGGCTGGCTGCCTGGCCTGGCTTGGGCATGGGCTGGCTGAGCTGCCTGGGCTGAGCTGGCTGAGCTGGCTGGCTGAGGGCTGGGCTGAGCTGGCTGAGCTGGCTGAGCTGGCTGAGCTGCGGCTGACTGGGCTGGGCTGGCTGGGCTGAGCTGGGCTGAGCTGGCTTGGAGCTTGGGCTGGCTCGCGGCTGTGCTGGGGTGGCTGGCTGGCTGGGCTGGTGTCTGGGCGCTCGAGCTGAGGCTGAGCTGGCTGAGCTGGCCTGGGCTGAGCTGGCTGAGCTGGGTGAGCCTGAGCGTTGGCTGAGCTAGGAGCTGGGCTGGGCTGAGCTGGCGGGGGGCTGTCAGCTGAGCTCGGGCTGGGCAGGGCTGGGCTGGGCTGGTGGGCGCGCTGGCTGGCTGGATGTGCGTGGCGGAGCGGGAGCTGGCTCGAGCTGAGCTGGGCTAGGGCTACTGGAGCATGGGCTGAGCTGCGGCTAGGGCGCTCGAGCTGAGTGCTGAGTCTGAGTGGGCTGCTGGGTGGGCTGGAATCTCGTGGCGCTGGGCATGGGCTGGGCTGGCTGGCTGGGATGCAGCCTGGCTGAAGCTGAGCGAGCTGGCCGAGCTGAGCTGGGCTGGGCGCTGAGCGTGGCGTCTGGGCTGAGCTGGGCTGGGCTGAGCTGAGCTGAGCTGAGCTGAGCTGGGCTGGGCTGGGCTGGGCTGGGCTGGGCTGGGCTGAGCTGGCCTGGGCTGAGCTGGCTGCTGCAGCTGCAGCTGAGGCTGGGCTGAGAGCGTGGCCTGGGCTGCGCCGCCCGGGAGCCTGGCTGAGCTGGGTCTCGAGCTGGCTGACTCGGCCTGCTGACTGGGCTGACTGGCTGGCTGGCTGGGCTGACTGGCTGGGCTGCTGGGCTTGACGCTGGCTGAGCTCGGCTGAGCTGGACTGGCTTGAGCTGCTGAATGGCGCGCGCGCTGGGCTTGTGCTGGCTGACTGGGCGTCGGGCTGAGCTGGGTCTAGGCTGGGCTCTGACGTCGAGCTGGCTGAGCTGGGCTGTCCTGGGCTGAGCTGGCTGACTGGGCTGAGCTGGGCTTGGCATGGGCTGGCTGGGCTGAGCTTGGCTGAGCTGGCTGAACTGGGCTGCTGGCATAGGCTGTGAGCTGGGGCTGGCTGGGCTCTTGGGCTGGCTGGGCTGGGCTGGTGCTGAGCGGCGGAGCTGGCATGCCAGCTGGCTGGGCTAGCTGCCTGCTGCTGACTGCGCGTGAGCTGGGGCTAGGGCTGAGCTGTAGCTGGCTGGCTGAGTGAGGCTGGGCTGAGCTCGAGCTGATAGCTGGGCTCGGCGCTGACGGCTGAGCTGGGCTGGGCTGAGTGGGCTGGGCTGGCTGGCTGGGTTGAGCTGGCTGGGCTGAGCTGGGCTGGCTGAGCTGTTGGCTGGTGCTTGACTGGGCTGAGCTGCGGCTGGCTTGGGCTGGCTGCTGAGCTGGCTGAGCTGGCTTGAGTGGGCTGGGGCTGGGTTCTGGGCTGGGCTGCGCTTGCGGCTCGAGCTGGGCTGGAGTGGCCTGGGCTGACGCTGGGCTGAGCTGGCCGTGGGCTGTGAGTCGCGGGCTCTGGCGCTGGGCTGAACTGGGCTGGGCTGGCCTGGGCTGAGCTGGGCTGAGCTGGGCTGGGATGGCCTGGGCTGAGGTGGCCTGGGCTGAGCTGGGCTGAGCTGAGCCGGGCTGAGTGGACGGAGCTGGGTGAGCAGGGCAGTGGATCGGACAGGTCTCACGGGGCCAGGGTTGCTGGCATGTCCTGAGCCACACTGACCAAGCTGGGTGGGCCTGACCTGGGTCCAACTCAGCAGGTTGGACAGGATTGGACTGGGCTGAACCACACTGGGTTGAGCTCAGAAGTGCCACCTGGGTGAGTGAAGGACAGTCGGTCAGCGGGGACGAGCTAGCTGAGATGTTGCACACAACTGCGCTGAATTGGGCTCAACTGGGCTGAGCTGGGTGGAACTGGGCTCAGCTGGGCTGGGATAAACTGGGCTGGGCTCAGCTGGACTGAACTGAGCTGGGCTGGGCTGGGTTGGGCTTAGCTGGGCTGGGCTAAACTGGGCTCAGCTGGGCTGGGCTAAACTGGGCTGAACTGAGCTGGGCTGGGCTGGGCTGAGCTGAACTGGGCTGAGCTGGGTTGGGCTTAGCTGGGCTGGGCTGAACTGGGCTGAGCTGAACTTGGCTAGACTGGGATGAAGTGGGATGAAGTGCCTTGAACTGGACTGAGCTGAACTGTGCTAAGCTGGGCTGGGCTGAACTGGGCTTGGCTGAAGTAGGCTGGGCTGAACTAGGCTGAGCTGAGCTGGGCTCAACTGGCCAGAGCTGGGCTGGACTGGGCTGGGCTGAAGTGGGCTGCTCTGAGCTGAGCTGAGCTGGGCTGGGCTGGGCTGGGCTGGGCTGGACTGAACCGAGCAGAGCTGGGATGAAGTGGGCTGAGCTGGGCTGAGCTTGCTGGGCTGGGCTGAACTAGGCTGAGCTGGTATGAGCTGCGGTGGGCTGGGCTGGGCTAGGCTGAGCTCAGCTCAGCTGAGCTGGGCTCAACTGGGCTCAGCTGAGCTGGGCTGGACTGAGCTGGGCTGGGCTGATGTGGGATGATCTGAGCTTAACTGGGATGAACTAGGCGGAGCAGAGATGAGCAGAGCTGGGCTGAAGTGGGCTAAGCTGGGCTGAGCTCAGCTGGGCTCAGCTGAGCTGGGCTGGACTGAGCTGGGCTGAGCTGGGCTGGGCTGGGCTGGGCTGGACTGAGCTGGGCTGAGCTGGGCTGGACTGATCTGAGCTGAGATGGGCTGGGCTGGGCTGGGCTGAAGTGGGTTAGGCTGGGCTGAGCTGGGCTCAGTGGGCTCAAATGGGCTCAGCTGAGCTGAGCTGAGCTGGGCTGATGTGGGCTGAGCTGAGCTGATCTGGGCTGAACTGGCCTGGGCTGAGCTGAGCTGAGCTGAGCTGAGCTGAACTGGCCTGGGCTGAGCTGGGCTGGGCTGGGCTGGCCTAGACTGAGCTGGGCTGAGCTGGGCTGAACTGGGCAGAGCTGAGCTGAGCTGAGCTGAACTGGCCTGGGCTGAGCTGGGCTGGGCTGAGCTGGGCTGAGTTGGGCTGAGCTGGGCTGGGCTGGGCTTGGCTGGGCTAGGCTTGGCTGGCCTGGACTGAGCTGGGCTGAGCTGGGCTGAACTGGCCTGGGCTGAGCTGGGCTCAGTGGGCTCAAATGGGCTCAGCTGAGCTGAGCTGGGCTGATGTGGGCTTATCTGAGCTGATCTGGGCTGAACTGGGCAGAGCTGGGCTGGGCTGAGCTGAGCTGAGCTGGACTGGACTGGGCTGGGCTGGGCTGGGCTAAGCTGAACTGGGCTGAGCTGGGTTGGGCTTAGCTGGGCTGGGCTGAACTGGGCTGAGCTGGGCTCAGTGGACTCAAATGGGCTCAGCTGAGCTGAGCTGATCTGGGCTGAGCTGAGCTGAGCTGGGATGGGCTGGGCTGGGCTGGGCTGAAGTGGACTAAGCAGGGATGGGCCGGGATGGGCTTGGCTCAGCTGCACAGAATTGGCCGAGGTGGGCCAAGCTAAACTGAACTGGCCTGGTCTGAGCTGGGCTGGGCTGAGCTCAGCTGAACTGAGTCTACCTGGCCTGAGGTGGCTATTTCCTATCAGCCTGGCTTAGCTAAAGTCTATTGGGCTGAAGTGTGCTGAGCCAACCTACTATGTTTCCCTGTCTGGCTGGGGTGAGTTAAATCAGAGTGAAGATGGTTGAGTTCCCAGGACTAAGATGAGTAGGTGTTCTGCAATGGGATGTCCTGTGCTGAGGTGGGCTGAGCCGAGCTCACCTGGGCTTACTTGGACCAAGCTAGGCTGTCTTGAGATGGGCTGGGCTTGTCTCAGTGAGACTGGGCCCGGGAAGCCAGAATCCTCAGGTCCACAGGTCTCAGCTGACCTTGGCTGTCCTGACTCAAGGGCCTCTGCTCGGCTGGACCGGGTGGGCAGAGCTGGGCTGGCCACTGAGAGCTGGGCCAGGGTGGAGGGCCGGCGGGTGCTGTCCAGAGCAGCCCTGGCAGGGGTGCAGAAGCAGCCAAGCGGCCTCTGTGGGGTCTTTGACTCTATCCAGGGCGCACCAGGGCCAAGTCTCTGCTCACAGCCAGGAGGCCAGAGGAGGGGGCAGGCCACCCACAGCAAGCCCCATAGGGGTTGGGGCTGGGGAGGGGACAGTCTGGTGACTCCCGGGGCTGCCTGGGTGCCCAGGCCCTTTGGGGTCTGTGGGCTCTGAGCTTTAGCCAAAGGGCACGGCCTGGCACCTCAGCCCCTCAAGACCCTACATCACAGCCGCTCGGGACTGGGGCACACCCTGGGGACATCCCTGTTCCAGAGCTCAGCCCGAGGAATCAGAGGGTGACCAAAGGCCCCAGAGAGGCCTGGCACAGGCTCCTCCACTGAGCCCCGTGCCCACGCAGACCCCAGGCCTGACAGGTCCTTGTCCCCACAGCCTCCACCCAGGGCCCCCACATCTTCCCCTTGGCCCCGTGCTGCAAAGCCGCCACCGAAGACCCCTTGAGGCTGGGCTGCCTGGTCATGGGCTACTTCCCAGAGCCCGTCAGCGTGACCTGGGACACGGGCTCCCTCAGCAAGAGCGCCACGACCCTCCAGGCCTCCGCGCTTGGGACCTCCGGCCTCTACTCCACCACCAGCTGGGTGACTGCCTCGAGCGAGGAGGCCAAGCAAGAGTTCACCTGCAGGGTGGTGCATGCCCCCTCCGGCACCCACGACAACACGACGGTCAGAGGTGAGCAAGGGCTGGGTGCACCACAGCTGCAGCGAGAGAGACCGCAGTCGGAGCAAGAGGGACTGCCGAGACTGCCAGGCTGACGGGGTGGGCGAGAACGCCGGCAACACCCAGCGTCCTCAGGAGCCTGGGCTGGGGCATGGGGGCCGAGAGACGGGGCGCAGGGCTTGGGGCGGCCCTCTCAACCCACCACCTCTGCCCACAGCATGCTCTGCTTCCTTCTCCACACCCACGGTGAAGCTGTTCCACTCCTCCTGCGAGCCCCCTGAGGGCACCTCCTCGCCCGTCCAGCTCCTGTGCCTCATTTCCGGCTACACCCCAAGTGACATGAAGGTCACCTGGCTGGTGCAGGGGCAGGAGGCCGAGAATGCAATCTGGTATACCGCCCCAGACAAGATTGAGGGTGAGCTGGCCTCCACACGCAGCGAGCTCAATATCACCTGGCTAGAGTGGGTGTCCGAGAAGACCTACACCTGCCGGGTCACCTACCGAGGACAAAACTTTGAGGACAGCACCCGGAGGTGCACAGGTAACCCCCACCCGCCTGACACCAAGATGCAGGGGCCGGAGGGGCCGTGGCGGGCAAGGTCTCAGGCGTCCCTCCCACATGCCGCAGACTCCGACCCTCGAGGTGTGACCGCCTACCTGAGCCCACCCAGCCCCCTGGAGCTCTACGTCCAAAAGTCGGCCAAGATCACCTGCCTGGTGGTGGACCTGGCCAGCAAGGAGGGCCTGAGCCTGACCTGGTCCCGGGACAGCAGGAAGCCCGTGACTCCCGGGTCCCCAGACGTCAGGAAGCAGTACAACGGGACGTTCACTGCCATGTCCACCCTGCCGGTGGAGGCCAGCGACTGGGTCAAGGGCGAGACCTATGAGTGCAGGGTGACCCACCCCGACCTGCCCAGGGACCTCGTGAGGACCATCAGGAAGGCGGACGGTGAGCCACGCCCCAGGCGGGTGGGGCCGGGGTCAGAGAGCAGGTGGAGCCTGGCTGACCCCACACCTGTGCACAGGCCAACGCATCCGCCCAGAGGTCTACGTGTTCCCGCCACCTGAGGAGGACCAGGAGACCCGGAGCACACTCACCCTCACCTGCCTGATCCAGAATTTCTCGCCCGCGGACGTCTCGGTGCAATGGCTGCGAAACCAGGTGCCGCTGCCGGACGCCCAGCACAGCACGACGCCGCCGCGCCTGGCCCCAGGCAGGGCCAACGGCACCGGCTCTGCCTTCTTCGTCTTCAGCCGCCTGGAGGTGGCCCGGTCACAGTGGGACCAGAACGACGAGTTCACCTGCCGCGTGGTCCATGAGACGCTGCCCGGGGACGACAGGACCTTCGAGAAAGCGGTGTCTAGGACCTTCGGGAAAGCGGTGTCTAAAACTCCCGGTAAATGACGTCCTCGCACCCCTCCCTCCCAGGGCTCCGTCCAGCAGGGACAAGGGAGGACAGCAGCCAGACCCCTGCCCGCCGCGGGGCAGCGCTGGGAAGCGCCCAATAAACGCTCGGTGCCTGCTCAGAGCCGGGGTGTGCCCGTTCTTGGGAGTGGACGGGGCTGCGGGGCGGGGCGTCTGCGCGGGGGGCGGGGCGTCTGCGCGGGGGGCGGGGCGTCTGCGCACGGCGGGGGTGGGGGGGAGGGGCAGGGCTGAGGACAGTGCTGTGAGGAGCACATCCACGTGGGGCTCAGCACAGACACCCCACCCCCCAGAGGAGCCCAGAGAGCCAGAGGACGTCCTCAGGGGGGCCGGGGGCATTCGGCCCCACCCCAGTGGTGCTGCCCCTCCTGGAGGCCTCAGCTCGTGCCCCCCCAACACACGTCCCTTTGGGTGGAGAAAGAGCCCAAGTCCAACCCCCACAGGAGCGTGCAGACCCCAACAGCCTTCCCACATCTGCGCCACCGCCCTCCCCTCTGCGCACGGCGGGCGGGGCAGACCCCAGCTCAGCACAGGGGCCAGCGGCCGAGCCCACTCGCACCTGCGCCCTTTGCATGTCCCTGACTCGAGGCCCAGCCCCCACCCGCCCGCTGCGCACACACGCGGAAGCCAACACCCACGCCACGCCAGGTCACACAGGGAGCCCAACGGCGCCCTGCGCCACCAGCAACGCGCCACACTCACAGCGCCCCACATGACAAGCACACGGCGCAAACGCTCACGCTGCCCTCCCGCCAGGCCTCTCCAACCTGCCCCGCGCACCTGGGCCACCGCGTGCAAGAGGGACGCAGAGACGCTCGGCGCCCCCAGTGCCCCACGCAGCTGCCTCCTGTGGCCCCAATTCCCCAGCCCACCCGCCCTGTAGCTGCACCCACAGACACTGACATGCCAGTGAACACCCAGTGGACAGGCGTCCTGCACCCACTCTCCCGCTCCCCACGCCCTGCACGGCAGCAGCTGCCCCTGCCCTCTGGGGTGGGCCTGGGGGTCAGAGCCAGGGTCATGACCACCCTGCCAGGCCCCAGGCGACGCACACCGGACACATGTGCACGCCCCAGGCCTGAAAGCCCTCATCCCACGGCAGGGCAGTGTGCAGGCCAGCACGCAAGCCCCACCACGCCCACTCGAAAATCAGGCACCGGGCACCCCAGGGGCACAGGGCCCATGTCTGAAGACACAGGCTGCACCTCTGCGCCAGACACAGGGGTTGGGGGTAGCCGCGGCCCACACTGCGGCTCACCGTGGGGACAGCGGACAAGGGCCCTGGGCAGGGTAGGGCCGGGCCTGGTGGTGACCAGAGACGGACAAACCGCACAGGGTGTGGGGTCAGCCCAGGCTCAGGGCAAGAGGGGCCGGAGAGGCCAGGCCGAGGCCACAGGGCAGGAGGCCAGAGCACAGGCAGCTCTCACTCGCCCCCAGGCCTGGGCTCAGAGTCTGTGTGGCCAGGCCAGCCCCTCAGGCTCCCGCCCGTGGCCTGGGGCCAGAGCCTGCATGCCATGCCTGGGCTGGGCTGGGGAGCTGGAGCCTGTCCTGAGGGTTTGCAGGGCCCCGGGCTGGCGGGGCGGGGTGGAGAGGGCCGAGGCAGGTGCCAGTGCCAGGAGAGGAGCAGGAGGAACGGAGGGAGGGAAGATGCCAGGCCACCATGAGGGTTGGGAGGGGCAGGGCTCCGGCACAGCCAGTGGCCAACTCGGGGCTTTGGGCCCCCAACCCTCAGTCCCCGGGGCACCGGACAGGAAGTTCTGCCCCTGGGCCTCAGTGGGGGCTGCCCGAGGCCAGCGATGCCCCGCCCTGCCCGATGTCGTCAGGGAAGCCAGGGAGGGCTAACTGGCCAGTCTCCCCAGAGCTGGACGTCGGGGACCTGTGCACAGAGGAGGACGAGAGCCAGGAGCCAGGCGGGCCGTGGACCAGCCTGTGCGTCTTCTTCACGCTTTTCCTGCTCAGCGTGAGCTACAGCGCCGCAGTCACCCTCTCCCAGGTCGGGGCACCCCCAGCTCTTGCCCCAGGGGTGGGTGCATGGAGCTGGGCGGCAGGCAGGCAGGGCCACCCTCACACGCACCCTCCTCCCAGGTGAGGCCAGTCTTCGCAGCTGTGCGGCAAGGCAGGCCCCAGACGCCCCACGACTATGCCAACGTCCTCTAGCCAGTGCCCAGGCCAGGACCAGCGGTGCTGCACACGGCCTTGCCGAGAGTCTGGGTGCTGCTCTGCCCTGGGTGGGCAGAGGGGAGCAGAGAAGCCCCTCAAGAGGGCCGGACAGGATGACCCCGCTATCGGCTGACAAGCAGCGCACCCGAGTGCAGGGGGTTCCAGCTCAGCCCCAGGTCCAAGCACTGAGGGGACCCGCCAATCACAGCCCCACCCTACCCCCACCCCACTCTGGGACAAGCCCCTGCCTCAGAGTGCCCAGGCTGGGGCTGCCGCCACCCTGACTGGTCTCAGGCCCTCGGGCCAGGCTCACTCCGGCTTGACAGGACAACCGTGGCAACACTACAGGGCCACACGCAGCGCTGCATGTCTGAGGCTGGACCCACTGCCCAGAGTCCGGAGCCAAGCCCAGGACACGGTCCCAGCCCTGTGCCACCCCAACCCCAGCATGTGGCCCCAGCCCCACCCCACCCCGCAGAGGGAGGACGCCGCAGAGCAGCCCTCAGGGGCCACAGGATGGCTTGAGGCTGCAGCGCGGGCTGGGGTGGGGGACGGCCCCACAGCCAGACAAGGGCTCCCTGCCAGCCCCATGCCTCGGTCTCACCCAGCCGGGCGTGGGCCGTCCTGTTTCTTTCCTTTGGGTTTCTCAGTAAAGCCCTTTCACGCCCCCGCGTTGGCCCCAGACCCTTGCTAGCAGAGAGTGCACTGCGGCAGGGACTCCCTCTCGCCGCAGCCCCGCTCCAGGCACTCCGCCACAGCGCTGGGCGGGAACGGGCCTTAGGGGTCTGGCCGCCGCGCCTGCCCCTGCCCTGTCCTCCTGCTAGGGAGGCCGAGCCCCTGTGGCCTCGGGGCCGCCAGGTGCGGGTGGCAAAGGCAGGGCAGAAAGCCCAGGGCTGACGGCTCAGAGACACCGCAGACAGGACGGCGGAGGAGCAGGGGCCTCCGGGGCCACGCGAGGCCACAGCTGCTCATGGTCACACCTCTGCGGGCACACGTACAGACACGGGGACACACACACATTCGTGACACGCACAGACACGCCCGAGCGCTCATGTTCACCCATCTTTGGGCACATGTTGAGACACGCGGACACACTCACACACATTCACGACACACACAGACACGCCCAAGCACGCATGTTCACACCTCTGCGGGCACATGTTGAGACACGCGGACACACACACATTCACGACACACACAGACATGCCCAAGTGCGCATGTTCACACCTCTGCGGGCACATGTTGAGACACGCGGACACACTCACACATTCACGACACACACAGACACGCCCAAGCACGCATGTTCACATCTCTGCGGGCACATGTTGAGACATGCGGACACACACACATTTGCGACACACACAGACATGCCCAAGTGCGCATGTTCACACCTCTGCGGGCACATGTTGAGACATGCGGACACACACACATTTGCGACACACACAGACACGCCCAAGCGCGCAGTGTCACACTCTCTGCGGCATCAGTGTGAACTTATGTTGTCTGTACACACGAACCATTTGCGACTATCATACAACACGCCCAAGCATCATGTCACCACCTTGCGGCACATGTTGAGACATGCGGACACACACACATTTGCGACACACACAGACACGCCCGAGTGCTCATGTTCACACCTCTGCGGGCACATGTTGAGACATGCAGACACACACACATTTGTGACATACACAGACACGCCCGAGTGCTCATGTTCACACCTCTGCGGGCACATGTTGAGACACGCAGACACACTCACACACATTCACCACACACAGACACGCCCAAGCACGCATGTTCACACCTCTGTGGGCACATGTTGAGACACGCGGACACACACACATTTGCGACACACACAGACACGCCCGAGTGCGCATGTTCACACCTCTGCGGGCACAGGCCGGTCACGCAGACGCAGACACACGCGGTCTCAGGAGGGCAGGCCCCGCACCACCCCGCCGCCGGGCGTCGAAGCCCCCGTCTCCTGCAGCTGACCGCCCTGCAGGCCGTGGTCCCTCCCAGACCAGAAGCCCTCGGGGCTTTTATTCCGACCCCCAGATCACGAGACCCCCACCACGGACCCTGAACAGGGGCTGCAGGGGCTCCACTCACGGGGTCCCGTGTGCCGGCACTCCCGCAGCCGAGAGAACCCCCTGCCTCCGGGCGGGCGGAGGGCGCAGCGCAGGGCGAGGGGGCGGGTCACGCCAGGCGAGGGTCCCGCAGCAGCCGGGGCCTGGGCCTGCCCTCCACGGCCGCGGCCTCCCAGGGGCAGGGGGACGTCTGCGCAGGGCCCTCCCCCCCCCCGTGTTCCGTCGACCCCTGCAGTGGCCCCCAAAGACAGGCCCAGGTCCTGCCCCTGGAACCTGTGGGTGGGCCTCGTCGGGAAAAGGGTCTTTGCAGGTGGGACGGGGTGAAGGGCGCAGGTCGGCGGTCCTGGAGCATCCCGGGGGGCCCTAAACCCAGCGGGAGGGCCCCCGCAGGAGACGGGGGAGAGGACGGAGTGAACTGGAGGGGCCGCCCTGTGGGCTGAAGGGCTGAGCCCCCCAAGTTGCCCACGAAGCCCCGAGGGGTGACGGGGGTGGGGGGCTTTGGGCGGGACTGGGTGCTGAGGGCGGAGCCGCAGGAGGAGACGGGTGACCGGGAGGGGCCTGGCTCCAGCCGTGGGGACGCAGGGCAAGGCGCCGTCCATGACCCAGGGAGCAGCCGGAGCCGATCCTGCTGCCACCCTGACCTTGAACTTCCAGCCTCCGACCTGTGGACAACAAATGTCCGTCCACTGAGCCACGCAGACTGTGGAGTTTTCTTCTAGTAGCAAGGGACGACTAAGACACGGGCCACCATGTCCCCACTGGTGACCGTTGTCGGGCATCCGAGGTTAATAGGAAACCTCTAGGGGGTCCTTGAACCAGGCAGGGCCTGTGCGCCCAGGACGCTG